TTCCATTATGCAGCAGAAATTGGTAAAGATGAAATCGTAAATTTGCTTCTACAAAACGGAGCATTAAAAGAACCATTGGATTGGGTGAGTTTGTAGTAATGTTACAACGTATAACATCGTGACTTTAGTCTAGTGTCATTTTCACTGTATTACCTTATGTCTGTTACAGTGCTCTGTGTCACGAGTAATTATTATACTGTCAATTGCGCCACCCAATCGCCTAGACAGGTTAGGTACATTATGAAACTCTACTGTCTTAATATCGTCGGTAAAAATCTCAGTTTTATCTAGCTCTGACTTATAATTTCTTTATTAATGGAATGTTCTATATTCTAAATAGACATTGTATTTCCTACACAATCATGGATATGGTTAAACTATCATATCTAGGGGTGTCAGGATGGTCGATTTGACTGTGTACCTGATTCCGGGGCCATGCAAATTGATGGTTCAAAACCATCCATACAACGTATTAAATTACACTGTTGGGGCGTCTCTTATATAGAATATGTGTTTAGGTATATCGTTTTTACCTACAAATTTACTAACATTGATGTAATGTATTGTGAACGTAGTTTCTCTTTTTCAATATGGTTTGTCAAATTTTCTCATCATTCAGTGTCAATAAGAATACTACATAGTTTTAAATACATCGGACACAATAGATTTGACCCGGCCGTTTTCACTACAATTATGGTCGTAATCATTAGAATTGATTTATACTTGTACTTATTACGAATTTTTCACATATCGTGACCATGCTTAGATTAGATGTCTGTGCTCAAGCACACATTTCAAGAGGCCTGCTTCATTGATATAATAGGCTCTTTGCAAAATTCATGTGTGCATTACACTGCTTTTAAAATAAATATTTATAGATTACTAAAAATTATAATCCAATTTTCTCACCGACATTTGTATCAATTAAAATTACAATCAAAAAAAATATTTAACCTCTGAAATAATAGAATCTAGCCGACTATAGTTACGCTTGTAGTCACTGGAATTTATTCGTTTTTTGACCAAAAAAATAATCCAATTTCCTCATTAACATTTGTATCAATTAAAATTATTACAAATATTGAATGCCTTATTTTCCTAACAAATCATAATAACATTACTGTACCAATGTGGTGTCATGTGTGTACAATATGTGTGGTTACGCATTTCACGCATATTGCGTGTTGCTATATAAGTTTACGTCATGTATGCATGTAATAACATGGGGTATGCATGTGTTCTTTTGTCAAGATAGGACTTCAAGCTTACTTATAAATATATTATTTCTGCAACAATTTGGTATTTATCTTCTGTTATCATTAAACATTTTGTCTTGCAGACGAATCAGACACCACTTCATTATGCTGCAGAAAATGGATGTGATTCTACAGTAGAAATACTCCTGAAAGCAGATGTGGAAAAAGATCCACGTGATGAAGTAAGTGTAACATAGTAAACATAACTAACATTATCTTTTCCAACTGTCATGTATTGTTGTGGATTTTTTAATGTGCATGTGAACTGACTGTTTTGAATACAAGACAACCACTGTATGTGCGCATTAGACTGGTTTTGAAATCAATATATTTAGATTACTATAAATTATTATCCAAATTTCTCATCAACATTTGTATCAATTAAAATTATTAGAAATAATTATTTTACCTCTGACATAATAGTATTGAGCCGACTATAATTATGGTTGTAGTCGCTGGAATGTATACGTTTTTTGACCAATGATTATTGTGACGTAAATATTTGATCTATCTTGACCCTGTTTAGACCAGGTGATTATGATGTTTTGTGTTCAAGCACACATTGTCAATGAGACCAGCCCCATTGATATAGTAGGTTAATTACAAAGTACATGGGAATATACTTATTTTTTATATATTTTATGGTTTTGTATGACTCTGTGTCGGCACATTGGAGTGCTTTAACCATAAATGTCACACTACGCCACGCGGTTCATCATTACGGTCTACCTTTAGTCTTTTGTTTGAATATAAAAAATGTAATTCTGTATACTGCTGTGGCTTTTTAAAAATCAACGTCTTTAGATTACATAGAATAAGAATATTAACTAATGTACGCGATTGTCACATTGTATCGTTAAGATACGTAAAGGACAAATACAAATATTTAGACAGTTTCTCATAATAACTGAAGAATATTTTAAAATAAACACTAACAATGTGTATTAAGTATTGAATATTTTACTTTCCTAAAAGTCATATTAAAATTACTGTACCAATGTGGTGTCTTGTGTGTACAATATGTTTGGTTACACATTTCAGTTTAAGACAACACACATATTGCGTGTTGCTATATACGCTATATATGCATGTTATATCATAGGGTGCGCGTAAGGTTTACTTGTAAATATATTATTGCTGCATCAATTTGGTATTTATCTTCTGTTATCATTAAACATTGTCTTTCAGATGAATCGGACACCGCTTCATTTAGCTGCAGAAAATGGACGTGATTCCACAGTAGAAATACTCCTGAAAGCAGATGTGGAAAAAGATCCACGTGATGACGTAAGTGTAACATAGTAAACATAACGAACATTATCTTTTAAAACTTTCATGTATTGTGATTTTTTTAATGTGCATGTGAACTGGCTGTTTTGAATACAAGACAACCACTACATGTGCGCATTAGACTGGTTTTGAAATCAATATATTTAGATTACTATAAATTATAATCCAATTTTCTCATCAACATTTGTATCAATTAAAATTATTACAAATATTGAATGCCTTATTTTCCTAACAAATCATAATAAGATTACTGTACCAATGTGGTTGCATGTGTGTACACAATATGTATGGTTACACATTTCACACATATTGTGTGTTGCTATATACGTTTACGTCATGTATGCATGTAATAGCATAGTGTATGCATGGAGGTAAAATGATTTTTAACTCCATGGGGTATGCATGTGTTCTTTTGTCAAGATAGGACTTACTTATAAATATAGTATTGCTGCATCAATTTGGTATTTATCCTGTCTTGTTATACCTTTTGTCGTTCAGTTGCATTGGACACCGCTTCATATGGCTACACAGGGTGGACTTGATTCTACAGTAGAAATACTCCTGAAAGCAGGTGTGAACAAAGATTCACGTGATAACGTAAGTGTAACATAGTAAACATAATTAAAGATTATCTTTTGTAACGGTCATGTATTGTATTTAAATGTGCATGTGCACTTGTTTTGAATACAGTACTGGTTTTGAAATCAATATATTTAGATTGCGATAAATTATAATCCGATTTCCTTAACAACTCTCCGTATCAAATAATATTACACAAAATTATACTACATCTGAGACAATAGAATTGATCCAATTGCTCGGCAATAAGTTGTAGTCACTTAAATTAATTTGTTTTTGACCAAGGATTATTGTGATCTAATTAATCATCACGTTCACGAGGGCAGGCCAAATATTAATCTAAAAGACCAAATATTAATCTAAAATACCAAATAATACTTTTATCACCTCGCGTGCGAGTTCTTAACGGATATAAAATTACACAATTCGTGTAACACAGAGATAATTGAGACTGATGGGCACTAGTATAATTCAATATAATTACATGCATATATAATAAGAAGCAATAATGCACACCGGCCAATCTTACACATACGACACCACACATGAATTCCGTGAAACCATAGTTTATTAGGTACACAAAATATATGCTTGATACAGTTCTCCCCAGCAATATCGCCCGCCCCTGCAAAGGTTCAGCATTAAACGCGACCCTCATCACGCACTTTTTCTATTGGTAAGCGGTGGGTTTACGAAAGTTTGCTCTGTAGACACCCCAGCAAGGTCGGTAACCATCCTACATAAATAAACATGCCAGGAAAAAACTATTCTATGCATTAACAACATAGTTTAATAACAAAATTTCGCATAACTCGAAGCCAAGGACTAACTAGTATGTGTGAAGTATTGTTCGGTACCTGACGTTTCCCGGCGTGTGTCGAACAGTATCAGTCCGCGGAGTCGCCCTGTGAATTTTATGTAGCTAGCGAGCGACCAGAGTTAACGAGTTGAAGCGTCAAACTCTACGTTCTCGTTCACAGCGCCAGGGCTTCCTTTCCAGTTGGACCTCAGACTGATGTTAAACGCCAGATTCGACTATGATAGTATGTAGTAGTGGTGGTGGTACTGCTCACCAGCTTTCAGGGTCGTGCAAAGCGTAAACCCCAATTGTTGAACAACATCTCGAGCAGCAACAATCCACAACCACGGTGTTTCAGTTTTTAAATTCTATGACGTCACACAAGTAATTGTGTCGATCGTTAATTGGCCCGCGACACCTGTTCATTCATCATACAGATACTTGTTCAGTTTTGTCCAAGGATGACATCGAAGTCACATAACAATGCAACTTTCTGTTCGTGTAATGTCAAATACGTCTACCGACTGGGCTGTGACCTTTTAACAATACATAATTCGGTTCCTATATGATCCAAGCACCCCGTGACATTGACCTTGCCTTGACCAGGTTCAAGCAGATAACGATGAATTATATTCACATTTCCCCACCATCATTTAGTATCAAATAATAATATTACAATAATTATAATATATTTTTCCATTCGTAAAATATAGTTCGAACGTGTTAGAAGTAGTACAGCCGCGTTCGAATAATAACGTTCGTAAAGCGCGAAAAGTTGTCCATTGCCATTTCGGGTTGTTATCTGTCATTTAATTTTTACCGCAAGCAAGAAAAGATGAATTGTCCTACGGTTATTACGAATGACGCAAAGTATGCTCTCAGGTTTCGAGGATGCATCGGTATTATAATTAATAACTATGAATTCAATTCAAAACGTGGGCTTTTGTTTACTTGCAAAAAAAACGTTGCGCGCCACGAGTGAAACAGGTCTAGTGGTTTCTAGAGTATAAATAATATCTGAAATATTATTCCCAATAACAATTCATGAAATAGTGTTTAAAACAACCGAAATTTTGAAACATCGACGTACTTTTATAATAGTCAGTCATGATGTCAGAATTAAATCTGCTTGCATTAACCAATCCGATTACTAGGATTATAATTACTGAGAGTAGATTTATTGAAAATCGTGTTATCAATATGTGGCAGATCAGGTTTTAAAATTACGGAGGGTTTCTGTTCATTTGAGTTTGGTTAGTTTTTGTATGATTTCTTGCCATTCGACCTGTAGTGCTACTTCATTGTTTGACTTTTTCTTTGTGTTCTTCCCACTCATGAGTAGAAATACTATTGAAAGGAAATGTTGAAAAAGAACCATGTGACATGGTGTGTGTGTAATAATTGTACATTTCATAGAAATATTGTGAGGTTTATGCTAAACTTACAGTTCATTAATACACCACAAATCTTAGTTACTCATATTATTTAAGTTGTTAAATGTATAGGGCCGAATGAATAAAACGTTCGTGCTGGGCACGTTCCTTTGTACGTACCTTATTGACGTTATAGAAATACACAAACGAAAATGGCTACCACTTGAGACGACGCCTCCACTGGCGTGAATATGTCAATGCACGCGATTTTGTTATCACACACACGAAAAAAATCATTCGAAGATAGCGCCCTCCACAGGCGTAAAATAGTTAATGCACGCGTTTTCTTGCACACACACACGAAAAAATAATCATTCAAAAATAGCGCCTTCACAGGCGTAAAAAGGTTAATGCACGCGTTTTTTTTTTCATTTTACACACACACATTTTCATTCGAACTCACACACGTCATTTTTAAAAACACACACGTCGTTTTCAAACATACGTCATTTTTAAAATACAAATGTCATTTTAATATACACATAATGTTTAAAACACACGTCATTTTAAAACACACACGGCATTTTAATATACATATAATTTTTAAAACACACACGTCATTTTAATATACACATAATTTTTAAAACACGCACGTCATTTTAAAACACACACGTCGTTTTTAATACACACGCCATTTAAAATAAATACATCATTTTTTAATGCACATATAATTAATGAATACATACACACATCAGTCATTTAAAAACACATACCATTAAAGCGCACAGTCACGCCGTTTTTAAAAAGCACACATCATTTTAAAACATAGACGCCACGGTCTCAATACGTACGTAATTTTGAATTATTAGTACGTTTTATTCTAGTATACACAAAATAATAATTTTGCATTCCGCGCCTCGTATGCACAGTACATGGAAATCTGTTTTTATTTATTTTCTTGCTTTGTATCCAACCGTGTAGGTACATTGGAGTGTTGGTACACACATAAATGTCACACTACGCCATACGATTCATCACTAAGGTCAACCTTTTGTATTTTGATTGAATAATTTGAAAAACAAATTAATTCTGTTACTATTGTGTCATATTAAAGTCAACATTTTTCGATTACATTGAATTGTAATCATCTTTTCCCAACACCATTCTGAATTAAGATTATTAACAATTGTACGAGATTATCACATTGTATTCCTAAGATACGTAACGGACAAATAATAATATTCAGTCAGTTTCTCAT